AAATCCTCTGCTATTGACCAAATCTAACCGCTCTGGGTGATTGTTTCGTTCATACGCTTAAATTTTTGACATTATAGATCAAAATGAAGTATATGGTCATAAGCGAGCTTCTCTACGTAAATTCCTGTCCATCCCACCAAACCCCCAATCCTGGTCCCTGGTCCCGTCTGCGACCTGTTTTGCCTGACGCTGTGGCAAGTGAGCCACTGTTTTTCACCAGTAACCATTAAGTTTCGAAAATTTACTAAAACGTACCGTACCAAACGAGTATGCTCCTGGGCAATTGAAGCAGTGCTTATATATATAAAAGGTCGGACTCCATGATTTCCATTATTTTATCGCTATTTTCGCCAATTGGCACTTCAGAGCGAGGAAAGTCTTAAAGCTGTTTTCAGTTCGATATCTTATCTTTAAAACGTCGTCTAGGATAACCCGATCGTACATGATACCACACGAGCAAGTTCAATTGCGAAAATATAAAGTTTTTTACTAGCTGAAGGTCTTAGGCGAATACACATCACTGGCCCTTCTTCCAGGAGACGACGTTCTGAAGAGCGTAAACTTCACAAAGAAATTTAAAGTTATTTTCGGCAGTAAGGCAGAGGCGAGTGATTGCACATTCGTCTTACTATTGAGGGGAAGCACTATCCAGTGGTACACGGATGGCTCGAAAACACCGGAATATAGCCTCTTGTGCAAAATGTCGGTTTTGTGACATGTAACCGGTAACTCCAGAACAACTGATTCAAGATTGCCCAGCATCTTGTAGAAGTAGGCTCAAGACTCGTGGATCCATCTACGTGGACAGGGATCTCATCACCTCCATCGCGCTCAGCAAGCTTCTAGAACTTTTCAGAGTGCTAGGCCTTTGTGACCATGTGTAATATAGGAGAGGGCACAATGGACCATAGGTCTAAGTGCAAAACTTCAATTAATTTTTATCACTCTACTAGATCTAATATTATTAGTAGATAATTATTAACGAGAATATTTCCATCGCCGATGGAGATGTCGTAAAACTCAAAAAATATAAATATTTTTATTTCTATACATTATTTTTTTGGAAGTTCCCAAAAAACGACCATTTTTAGGGTGTCACTCTAGGTG